CCAACTATATAAAATATATCAGAAATTATGGGATATCATCGCTGATATTTTTTTCAGATACTACTGATCCTAGGCAACTTCAAAAAAATATCAGTGACCATATCCCATAATTTCTGATCTTTTTATATATAGTTGAAATATGAGTCAGAGTGGTYAGAATTTCTGCATATTGCTGTAAAAAGACAAATTTCGGTTGTTTTGTAAACGTTTGAATCCAGACGGTGGTCAGATGTGACGTCTGGATTTCCGCCATACMTTTTTACCAAATTTTGCGTATCTCTACAATCCTAAATTTCTGTCAAACTATGCAGTTTTTTATGCTCTAAAAATACATGGATGTCATGTCTTAATGCGAGTAAAATAAAAATAGTGATGTCGTCTGCAACACAAGCTGATAAGTTAACGTTGGACCCTGTCCCAGTCATGTCGGACCAGATTCGCTGCAGGGGTTCCATGTGTAAAGGGAGGAGGGGGTGGATGAGGGTGTGGTCGGTAAATCCCTAACTTTTCTGCTGTTCGCACATTTCTTAAACCCCCTCCTGATAATTATTGCGCAGTCCCTTGTAGTGTATACAGCTATTTCAAAAAACATTGTCGGGGAGAATGGCAAACGGCGATTGTCGAAGGGAGATTGCACGACCGAAAGGATTCACCTATTGGACTCATCTTACATAGAAATTGAGACTTTAGACAAATAGTTGTATATGTCAATGTGTGTCGGCACATGAAGTGTATAGGCTTCTTGCACGATGAAGAATACTCCAGTTTCGAATTCATAGCGAATAACCGCTGCTTTATTTGACAACAGATTCTCTTGCGCAAAGACCTTACAAACACAAAAGAGAGCACGAGAAAATGTCGTTATTACAATAGCCTTGAAAATTTGCATTTTCCCCGAGTTGAGATTATCCCTGTATTCCCATAAGACCTAAGGTATGAGCAGGGTTAGCCTCAACTCGGAGAAAATGTAGATTCTTAGCGCTCTATTGTATTAACAACATTTTCTCGTGCTTTCTTTTGTCTTTTGGTAAGTTCTTTGCGTAACAGAATCTGCTGTCAAGTAAAATAGCGGTTATTCGCTTTGAATTCGAAACTGGAGTATACCCCTGCATTCAGTTTTCATTCCCATTTTGATATTTGATGTACTGCATTATTCTCTASTTTGATAAGTCAGGCAAAGAATTGTATGAATTCATTGTTGTTCTTATGTCTTCAGTGTGACTCGTACTAATGTTGTTTACTTGTAAAGCCGACATAGAAACACAAAGTTTTTTGCAAAGGTGCCTTTTTTTCTATCAGTCCACGAGTTAACCAACGGTTTGCTTGGTTGATATTATAGGAACAATTATAGGTGCGCAAACTGACATTAGTACCATTTTGGCCCGAGGGATTAATTAAAATGGGATTTCATAGTCCTTGCATTTTTGTTGCATTTTTTCATTGCATTTAGCGTTGACTATAAAATCCCGTTAAGTCCGTTCAGTGCTAAACAGCTAACTGCTCACCTTAATTTATGGCAACGTACACGATAAAAAAAATTAAATTTTTGCTTCCGTTTCAAACTGACCGTTCGATTAGGCAAAAATAATGAATGAAAACAAAAAATTGTGAATCTACTTTATTCCCATTCTTTCATAACTCTTCGTTATTAAATTTATCCCATTTTCGGGATTTACAATAACCTTACCTAATAATTCCATCCAACTATCGGATCGTTCTACTCTAAAAAGAACCCGTATTATCAATGTTGGATGACCTAATCCCAGATTTGTTTGATAGATCCATCTCATCATTGGCTAATTTGATCCTTACACTTGACATTGGATGAAATATCTCCACACATTTATCATAGTTACGTATGGCTATTCTACTCTAATTAAGAAATAAACCAGATGATATCATTACGTACGAAAAATATATGTTCTTCAGACTTGAGAAACTTTGGAAAAGCGCGTCTGGATCGTGAAATCTCCCGTATATTGTCTAGAATAAAGGAAGATACTAAAATTCGAGGATAACAATTTTTTCGGCAACAGATTCCGCATTATATAGCGTGCTAGCAAAAGGGCTGTAGCCCCACAAGGGACAGATGAATTGCTGGCTGAGAGGAGAATTTCAGAATACAGACGCCCTTGTCGTGTGCTTTCCTTCGTTACAGCAAAGACACTCGTTAATATCCCCACAACTAACAATGGACTTTACGACCGAGGTTTACTCCAATTTCCCTTCATCTAAAATCATTGCAGCAGACCTTTCTAAGCAAAATCAGATAGCACTTTACACGCGCCATTCTCGGGGCTTGCTCATGTAGACCAATGTCTTTAAGTGATCTATATAGAATGCTCTATACTCCATCAAAATGAATAGTTATGGCCCCATTTTGAACAAATTACCTATGCTATATGTCAATACTGTTTATGTACTCGCATCGTTTTTTTATTATCTTTTCTCCATTTGCGTGAGGACCGAAAGCCATACAAAAACGATACAAAAACACGAGTATGGACCCATAATCTATACAATTCATAAATAAACAAAAATAGTGATTACATCTTGTGTATATATAACCTTAATTTCACTTAAAGTGCGAAAATAGTTTAGTGTTAACTTACGGTATTTTTATGGACGACAATACTGCGTCAAAAATGTTTGGAATATACTTATCAAACTTTAAACTTTCTAAAACGTATTTTAAGAGAAAGTGCTTCTTGAATACGTCCGATATGACGACAAAGATTTCCAGATAAAACAGGGGATTCATATTATTGTGCTATAAGTTAATGTTTCTACACAGAGGGGAAGCGCAAGGAAAATATTACCTTACTAAGTTACTATTAGCTATTCAAATTATTGCATTATTCTAGTAGGTTATTTTCAATTGCACGTGCTCTTTGACGCAATTGTCTTCATCAAAAATAAGACGTTTGATTTAACATGGCAAATGAGAAGGGCGGCCAGGGTTTATTTACTTCCAACCAACGGCACTGCTTTCTAGCAAGGCGATAAATCCAATAGAGCAGATGTACACAGCTCCAATGGCTCCACCCATCCAAACCTGCGAAGAACGATTAGTAAGTTATTATTGTTGTTATTGTTGTTGCTGCTGCAATTGTTGCTGTTATTGCTGCTGCAGTTACTGTTGTTGTTGCAATTGTTGCTGCTGCCGTTAATGTTATTGCTGCTACTGTTGCCGTTGTTGTTCCTGCTGCTTTTGCTGCTGTTATTGTTGTTTACATGGGCGCGCGGAGATACGGATTTTATCTTCAAGTGTTGAAAAGATCTCTCACGAGTATCTCCAAGCGACCACACTGGAAAAAATCGCGCGCTTTAAAGGTTGTAAATTTGATGTAAATATTATGTAAGTGTCCAAAATGATGTAAATTTCCAGTGTAATATTCTATTCATCATATAATTTGTATATGAAAGCAAATTATGTCGTGAAATAGCTTTTTTCTTACTTACACTATAAAAGAGAAACCGCGAATGTGTTATTTTCACTTCACAAAATGGAGAAATATAGGTATTTCATAGATACAGCCTTTTGCAAAAATTATGAGAATTGTCTAAATATCTAAATATCACAATATCCATATCCATATATTGTCCAGAACACGCGGATTTGCTAGAATAATTCATTGTTGACATCGAGAAAATGTTCAGAACTACGAATAAGTCCGTCACCACCGAAAAAAACTAAACTACAAAGACAGAGGACAAAGGGAATCGCGCGCGATTACCCATCATGCACTTGATATTATCATATTTAGATATTTCGAAAATTCTCATAATTTTTGCAAAAGGCTGTAATTATATGATAAATACATATATCAACGACGCCTTAGTTAAAAGGATATTAAAGAGAAAATGTTAACTAGAATACACCATATTTGTAATTTACCTTATAGGTGTGTCGTAGAGCAGCAAGGCCGACAATCCATTGAACAAGAACGATGACAGTTACCTCTGTAAATGATAAAGCAATACTTTAGATCTMGTTTGAACAACATGGATCAGGCAACTTAGCAATCGTGCTTAAAAAAACAACTTGCTGAAGATAGGTTAGGATCATAAGACCGTCTTCAAATGACGATGAACGGTTTAAACCATGAAACAAAAACTGGAACATAACTTCATTACACCGTTAGGCGATTAGGTTGAGGTTTTAGAAATATTTTCGAATGCTGCATGGAATAACTAATTGGAAACACCAGAATGAGTTTTGGAAATTCCTTCTCAAATACAATGATACTATAACAAAAGTTGCTGCAGCAACTATTCATTAATTGGAGAAGTACGCTTTATATGAGGAAATAGAGCTGTAGCAAAATACTGTACAAGATAGTCCTAAACTTTGTTGTATTCTCAAATTCAAATTTTCAATCACTGCCATAAGAYTTAAGAGATAAAAAAACCGGCGACCATGTTGGATGGATAAGCAATAGATAATGAGAAATCCTTTGTTGAAGTTCATCCAAGATGGCCGCTGTGACGTATATTGAAAGCGAAGAATTATATTTAATTCATATAGTCTTTTGTTAAAACAACGTAAGGCAGCGAATTTGTTTGCCATCAAAAAAATTAACAAAACAAAATTAAATTAAAACCTCAATGATTTGCAAATGAAAATCTATATATATAAAGAACTTACCTGCAGAATAATACCATCTGAGGTTCCTAAACACCACGAGGGCGGCGAAGATACCCAGGCAAAGTGTATTATTCATTGTGCTAGCACCATAAAGCTACAGAAAAAAAAACCACAAAAAAGTACATGTTAAGTAAAAACTTGTGGTATTGAATAGAAAACCCTTAACACAAGTCCCAAGATGCAAAATGTTACTGCAATGGGATTTRACTAAACTGGAATCCACATTGCGGTATAATTCCGCGAAAGGAGGAGAGCTTACATGTTAGGTAAAATTAAGTAGTTCACGTTAAAGTACCTGAGAAAATGTCATGGAGACGTTTTCCTTCTTCTTCTTGGCAGCAAAGATGAGCGATGAAACAAGCTCACTTGCGTTAGAACAGAGAGGTGTAACCACGAAAGACACATAGAATGCTAAAATATAACACACCCAATTGCTAAGAGAAAACTTTTTTTTTTCTCGGTATCTGTGCGGGAAGGGGACGGAACTGAAGGGAAACTGTTAAACTGAGCTGGTGTCGGATCATGATTCTACAGAAACTCAATATATGAAGTAAAGGTTTTATGCACATTTCAGGATCTTCTCAAACCATCTTTATTTTTGGGTTCCCCGTGTTCCGAGAAATTTCCGCTCATTTGTAAACAGGCAGCCCAACCACAAAACACTCCAGAAGAATAAGCAAGAAAATTAACAAGTGCCAATGGATGAAGATAATGGAAATTAATAGTAGGCATTTTTTAGAGAAAATCTTTACATCACAACCGTTAATTTAATCAAACATTTTTTTGATGAATTTGGTGTTTTTCTTTGTTGTCAATAATGAGCAAGGCTTGGAGTTTTTTACGTATGTTAATCCTCCGTGTTTTCAAAGAAAATCCAAATGAAAATTTGAAGTCAAAAGCCGCTATGTAAAGAAGACAGGATACTTACGACTGATGGGGATATACGATTTGTTGTATTTGTTAGTCAGGGATACCAAGACATCACACATGGGATCGGCAAAGATGGTAACCTGACGGAGAATAAGAAAAATATTTTTTTATTAATCAACGTTTAATCATATCGTATCAACGTGTATTTATTTCAAGTTTTTATGTCGAATTCAATGCAAAGGAGAGGATAAAAAACACAAGACAAAAATATTAAATTAATTTGCATTGAAATTTGCAGAAATCGGTGTACGGTGCACGATTATAAATCAAATGCAAGGCATAAAGGTCTTGAAACAACCGTGTTCGTTGATCTACAACTGATAACGCAGTTCTGAAAAATCCAACACTATGGTATATTTTCAAAACAAAGGGCAGTTTTAAAACAAACTTATACCAATCCATTGTGAATGCCAGTAACTTTAATTTGTGCCATTCTTTTTTACATGTGAGCTCTCTACTATTTACAAATGGGTTACATTTACTAAAGTTTTTGCTCTTTCTTTTCATGCCGAAGACCAACAAGACCTTGCCGAACCTTATCAGTGTTTCTTCTAATGTCTTCAAAATCCTTTTTCATTTTGCTTAAAATAAAGTCAATTGTTTTGATTTCATGCTCAAGATCTTCTAGCTCTGCATCTGGTTTTCTTGTAGTCGGCAAAGGTGAGTCTTCAAAACGTTTCCTAGCATCGATGAAGGTCACAGCTCGTTTTGGAATAATGTCAGAGTTATTTTTTGAGAGTGTTCGCCGTAGAGTCTCGTTTGCCGCAAAGAAGTGGGCAGTTGAGGCGAGAGTCCGCATTACTAAGCCAAAAAAGACTGTTGCAACGTGTACCGACTCTTTGATTAGTTTATCTTTAGTAATCCTTCAAAAACGCTGTCTTGGTAGAGGAGAGACCATTCAAGATTTGATAAACTAGGTCGTGTCCAGCGAGAGATCTTTGTAGAATGAATACTTTTGCCTAAATCTCGGCAATTGCCTTTTTCCAGGCAATTTTTAACCATAAAATTCGTCTTCTTTTCCTTTCCCCCAAATTGTTTCTCCGTAATTTCCCTAGAACTACAAACTTTTAAATATTTGGTTCAGAAGCTTCGAATTCGTGTCCCCTCTGCCACAGTAGTAATTGATAATTGGTGCACTGCTTTGAGGCGGTTTGTGTCAGGCAGAGGGACAAAAGCCTGAAGAATTATAGAATTTCAATAGCTTCAAAACCACCGAATCGAAAAGGACGCGAACGCAGTGAAAAACAGCTTCAAACACGACTTTAAATTTCGTAAACTTTCGAAATAAAGAGTTCAAAATAATATTTTACTTGTATAAATAAGTTTGTTCTACTGGACTTGTCCAGCAAAGATTATTTGGTTCACGATCAATAGCAATAATAAATAATAAAGTCGCCTTATCAAAAGAAAGGAAAAACAATAAGTAATGCTATCTAAACAATACATGTATTCCTTAATATCCTCTATAAATTACTCGTGTATTATAATACTTTGTTTATTAAAAACAGAACGCATTTATTACACGCTACAAATTGTGCGTCGGATAAAATTTTAGAAAAATATCAATTTACTTCTTTCAAATATAAACTCTCGTTTGACACGGGTGTTGGTATTAAGGACAAAAACGAAACCTTTAGTCTAGTCAATAATTTGGAATTAATCAAAAGTGTGAAGGAAATCGCGAAGGAATGGAAACCATTGGCATCATTGATGGAGCAAATAATTTTTGCAAACGATTAAAAATCCTTCTGGAATCAAGTTCTCATAGCGAAAAAAAAACTGGTCGAACAAACATTCAAATGTGTGTATTTGAGCAAAAACGTGCAGGAAAAAAGGCATGATATTTATATCCCCAGCCCTCCATTCCAACAACAAACATGTTGAACTGACAGTGTCCTTACCAGTCCTACTCCAAGAATAAGAAGTCCAGCAGATTTCATTCCAAGGACAGTTTTGCTCTCTTCGTGTTCTGGTTCTTCGTCCTTTGAAGGGAATGATTTCAAATCAGCGCAGCAAATCAAAGCAGGATGAAAAACGAAGAAAAAGAAAAAAAAGAAGAAATGAAGGAATGGAAGGGATGTAACACTAATTCAAAGTAAGGAAAATACGACCATGAGAGAAGCCATGAAGGGCAGGTTGAAAGAGAGGAAGTTACGAAGGACAAAAGTAAGCCCTCAAGCAGTCACGAAATTCTATAGAAGATGAGCAATACACCCCATTATAGTTTTAATGTTTAGCTTCTTTAAGTTTAAATTAGTGTGAAAATTTATGTTAAATTTGTGTTAGGAATCCCGTTATGAAAGATAGCAACAATTATATTATTTTATTCTCGTTAAAGTGGTTTAAAATGTTATTTAGTACAAACTGATTAACGTGCATTGTGCAAGTAGATCACTAAATTTACTTTCGTTAGGTTTTTGTCTCTCTATGTCTTTACAACGGAAAGAAACCCCAAAGCGTAGCTATTAAAATTGATATATTATAACACTATAATTTTCTACTTGTGTGACCGCTACACTAATCGTTAAGATCATATCAAAATGATTATATTAGAGATTATTAGCAATTTTACATCATAACTAGCATCAATATTTTTAAAATCAATTAATAATTCAAAATATATTATTACTGGATTTAATATCATATTACTCTAACATACCAATTTATTAAGTTAGCTATTAAAAGGCACCCTTCTATTATTTTTTTTCTTTTATCAAGTGGACAAAGAATTTCTAAATTAAAATGTGCACACAGGAATCCCACAAATTTCTCACCTCCACATCACTCACTGAGAAGGATTCTTTTTTGTGAAGCGGTGCCTACAAGTGCAATTGAATCATGAATATTACTGGCATTACAATAAGAAACTGTGAGAATTAGAATATGCTTCCTGATAAATCCTCTTTTTTTTGCACCTGCAGATGTCTCCATCATTAGGTCATAATACTATACTTTTGGATAATTTCATTATTTTACCAATTTTTAAATATTTCAGTCATCAAATTTCAAATATTGAAAATGGTTTTCTGGAAGCCTTTGTCCACTTTCTGTGCCAGTTGAGAGGCAGGTCTAGCTTGGGTAACAGCACACTTCCAGAGGTGGCATATAAATGATATATCATGTCATGGGAGTGTAGTTCATTAGAAACAAAAATCTCACATAAATGGTAAAATATATTGCTTTAAAAGCTCCAATAAAATCATGGAGAAACAAGGAAACTCATTTTCACAACTTATTGCACTATTTAAACAATCTTCACAGCCTACATAAACAGTCGGATTTCCATTTTTTGCAATTTTTAAAATCACAATGTCTTTGCTTTAATGGTAGGGTGTTCACTGCTGTCACCCTCTAACCCCCTTAAAATACGCCCCCGACATTGCTCATACTACTACAAAACAACTAATACAATGTATATATATGGTGCAAAAATAAATAAATGGGATTGACAGTCAATCATATACTAGGAGCATACATAATATCACAGAAACTTAAAAACATTGATTAAATCATGCATTACCATAACTACTGTATTTCAATCTATCCTTTTAGTGCTTATTCCTTAGTTACTTCTTTACATCTTACATAGCATAATTAAATTTTAGAGTTGTTTAAAGAAGTGCTTACTTTGTGCATACTAATTTCATGCAAACATTTCACTGAGTAACTACATGTAAGTACTTGACTTTAGTTTCAAGGCCTCCACTTTGGACTGAACAATTGTGGCTGGGATAAACTGATTCCTCCAGTCCTTTTCCCAGGACCTTGGAATATTCCTATAAAGTACCTTCTCATCGTCTCCAGATCCATCAGTACCAAGAATAGGATCACTTTCCTTTCCTTCATCTTTGGCCTTCATGCCAGAACCAAGATGCCAAGCAGTGAAATATTTCTGCTGGATACGAGCTGAAACCCAAAATAGAACTTAATTGAATGATATTAAAACACATGTAAGCGATGTAGGAGCTTAAAATTATAACTTTCCAAGTGAGAAACCGGACTGTCGTCAATGATTACACAAAACCAAGCAATTAAACACAAAGACCTTGCCGTCTAAGATGCATTTATTATTTAATTTTATATTTATTTTTTGTGTTTCTTCCAGTTTGTTCAAAAATMAATACAACTAAAAGGTTTTCAGATTCAAAGATTAATAGCTAAAGAGTTATGAGTTAGCCACACAGAATAGGACTCTAATCAATGACATAGGTTTTTTTTGTCAAGGAATTTGCTATGAAAGAGAATAGGTTTTATTGCAATTTTTTTAATAAATATTTAAGACACTGTGATAAATTAATTGGTCCTTTAGCAAACCTACCTTCCCTAGCATCTTTAGCACTTTCATCTTCATCTCCATCAATCCTGTCATAACCGCCRGACTCTTTGTTGGCCATTAATACAAAACGATGAAGGACACGTCGCTGAATCCTTGATTAAAAGGAGAGCAACACAAAAATTTATTATAAAATATTGAAAAATCAACAAAAAGTTTCAAAAACTGCAATTTTATTTGAAGAGAAAAGAAAAACTATTTTAAAACTTAGCTRACAAAAAAGACTTACAGTGTTTGACGATGTTTGTCAGCTCTTCTTTCAGCTGCTTTGCTGTCGTAAGCCTACCAATGACATTAAAAAGAGTTAAATTATACATTATAAGAAATTCCACAGTCAAATATAGGGCAAGATATTGGGCAGCCAATCTGCCCAGTTAAGCTCAAGTTTAGCTAGTGAATATATCTCTTTGATTAAAAAGATCTGTTTACTTATAAAAAGATTGCTGAGAACTGAACTTTTGTCAGACATTATCGACTGATCATTTTCCCTTGTTTCTTTTCCTGATTAACCATCTTAATGTAATCTGCCTAGATCTGTTATCTGGTAAAAATCCTTACCAAGAAACCTAGGTAAAACACAAACAGGAAGAAGCAGATTATCATGGTAGCAAGAGCTGCTTTCCTGATGTAGGCAGGCTGAGGTCCAAAATTTGTTGGTCCAAAATGCCAATCAGCTCCTTGGACAATGCTAAAAGAATTAATAAAAAAATAAGCTGCAGATCAACATAATGATACAAGCAAACATACAAGTAAAAAATAAAAGTAAACGGAGTGAATGCAATAGATTTTTATCAATGAAGTTTCTGGTGCAAGGGCATAATATTAGACATAACCAGTTGAACATGAGCCAGTTGAAGCCAGGTACTTACAAGTATGTAAGAGAAGTTCCCAACATAATAATAACAGCAGTAACAACATCTGGAAGAACAGTGACTCCCTAAAAATAATCAAAATGAAATTATGGTGAAATAAGAATATTTAATAWATGTAATAACAAGAAAATTAAATTGAAAAAGATGGGAAAGAAAAAAAGAAAATAGTAAKAATGCATGAAAAGATGCGTCGATTTTTTGAAGGAAATACTAGGACCTGTGGTATGAAGGACTGATAAAGTCATCCACCAGTTACGGTAAAGTTCATAGATTTTGTTGGGATTACATCTGTTGGAAAAGGATTTATCTGGTGGATAGAGCCATCTACCCTTCGTACAACCAGCCCTTGATGTTCAAATGTTGACTGAATGTTTCTCAATTGTAATGAATGTGTCATTACATTACCCTTTTTTTTCTTTTTACCTGTTTAGTACAGCTGAATTTTCCATGTCCAGATCCTTCAATAGCTTCACCATGTCTGTCCAGGTCACATCGTCCAATCAGTACACTACCAGCCCATGCAGCAGTCAGCAACATAATRGTACTACCAGCCAAGGTACTGAAACAACAAAGTATTCAAAATTCAATTACCAGGTGAACTTTATATCCCATATTTAGGATAACAACCTAAGTAAGTGCAGTAGTGCTAGACCATCAACAACGTGTTGTCTGAGCACTCAAAAATAATATCAATATCAAAAACACTAAAATATTTTTAGCTGTTTAAAGTGAATGACATACCCCATGCCCACAGACAACTTTTCCTGRGCATCTGCACCAAGACCAGACACAATAATAATGGCTGAGTCTGGTACAGCACCAAGAAGAGGTAGAACGATACCACCTATTGAACAAAAACAGGTCACACTTAATTTATGGTGGGAACGTGCATCTTGTATGGGTTTTAAAACAGAGTTGTGATGTGGTATATAGAAAAAGATATGGATCAAAAATCAAATTTAATAATCTTGGATCAGAGAAGAGAATTTGGGTGCCATGCAAAAAGGATTCATGGGCTGAAAAAAAAAAAAATTCCAAGATCTTGTGATTCTGATTGGAATGATGAACAAAAATGCTCTCAGACAGCTAGGCCCAAATGATGTAATAGCATAATTTTGATGCACTAAAAAAGACCTAAATGTCACAACTAATTACACTTAAAAACAGAGTTATTTTCTTGCTCAAGAAAAAAGAGTCAGAAGAATTTTTGTTTTCTTACCAACAATTGATGCTGGAACTCCTACATCAAGCAAAAGTTCTGCTCCATCTGAAAATAAGCCACCAATAATTTGCTGTTAGTAATCACATTATTTGCCGAAATAACAGCAAAACAAAACAACAAAGGTTTAATAATTATTACTGTTACCAATCAAAGCAAGAAATAATTACGTATTAACTTAAAGTATTCTACAGAACATCTCCCGGGCCCAAGTCCCAGCTCACTAAAMCTCATCATTAAAAAGTACTGTACTTACCTGAAATGCATTTTGCAGCAACACCAAGAATAGCACCATAGAATACCATCAACAGAATATTGCCAGTTATCTAGTGAAAAAAATTAATAGTAATTGCCATCATAATAGTCTTCATCATCATCATGTACACTGTAGATTACTCTGTCTTCAAGACTCAATTTACTTTACATATCATTCAATTTTTTTTGTTCAGAGTGAATTATTTAATTTCCAAGGAATGGAACTAATTTGCATTATCTTGTATTCCATTATTTTATTTTTCATGATTTTACCTAATTGTATGTTTTAATTATAAATTCTGACTTACTAATATTCATATATGATCAAAATCAAATTTATATGAAGTGATAATGAGAAATTGTTGTAGTAGTTACTACAGACTATAAATTGCATCATATTTTCATGATTTACGTTTTGTAGATAAAATATTATTTCAATCATGTGATATTATATTGCACATATTGCTATATAATAAATAAAGATTTAAAAATGAAAGTCAAATTTAATTGGAAAATCAATCCGACATTTGTAGTTTTCTAAGCATAAAAATGACCAAACAAACTAATAAAACATATATAAAAAATCATTAAAAAATATGCTTCATAAAATATTTATTTGGCATGGCATCTACTACTCATTTGGGCTTATGTGTGGTATTATGCAACCACGTACACTGTGTCTATTACATTGAATCCAGTAAAAAATTCATAAACAACTATGATTATTTCTTAAAGAATAGGGAAGTGTTTGAGTCAAGAAAAGTCATTTATAGAAAATGAGTTTTTAAACTAAAATACTGCTCTATTTGTTATGTTCTAAATTGTGTATTTATACATCGTTTAATTTGGGTGGTTCCTGAAATCTGTGGATCCAACAAAGGCAATTGAACACTTTGGTAATTGTTTGCATTATTTCATGGTCTGTGGCTTTAAACGCCAAGCCAATGGCTCCAATGAAGCAAATCAAGCTTGCACACACTTACTTTAGCAAAGTAGAACAGCTTGCTGTAGTAGAGAATAATGAAAACCAGCATTCTTTCAGAGGAAATAAAATAAAGTAAAATGCTATATAGCTCGATATCTAAGACTTAGTCAGTTGTTAATCCCTAAAATACTTAGCTAAAACTCTTTGCTTCCATTTTTTTTCCTTTTTCTTTTTTTAATTTCAAGCATTGCATTGATTTTTGAGCAGTTAATTCTCTAAAAATTCAAATTAGACTATTGAAAATCAATGTTACTGACAATTTTTGGGCTATTCTTGTACACTTCTCATTTTAGTTTACACGAGTCTTTTTTCTTGCTTCAGTGAATTTATTGTGATTTCATCTATAAACAACTGATTTACTTTTGACGACTTTCTTGGCAAAAATCATTTTTTTAGTTTATAATTTTATGATTTTTATTGTGACTTGGACAATATTTGCTATTTTTTAATTYCCTTTTGGCAATAAAACTTCTAAGCCTAAATAATTTCACAACTTTGACAACTCTGKTTTTTGTCAAGCAAAGAGTCGTTTTTTTTGGTTCATCAAATTTTTTTTGTTAACTTGCATAAAAGGTTCTTTGTACAAGATTATCAACTATTGTCTTAATTCTTGACTTTAGCGCATTTTGCGCACTTCAACATTTTTTTATAAACCTAACATTTGCAAAATGATGTTAAAAATGCAATTTTTTCGGTATGTACTTCTTAAAAATTTATGACAACCTTAGTCCCCAGCAKCTTTCTGAATAAAACTATTCCATTAATCAAACTTTTTGCTTAATTTTAACAAATATTCTTTGTTTTAGGGAGGACGTGATTGTATTCAAACTTAATGTCATTAATGACGCTGTTACAGTCGACTGGTTGAACTACGTGCCGTGAAAGACTAATTTATGTTTGTCACGGAGGGAGTCCAAAATACCACTAGTTTTATGGTAACAAAATGGAATCTGGTGTGGAGTGCTGCTTTTTGTGCTCACACAATTCTACCAGCTTTTGACGCTTTGATTCCACGACCAACAATTAACAATTGATATATACTATATATATATGTTAATTTTCTATACATAAGTTTGCATGTAATTTCCAGAACGTTCAGGAGAAGCACGGAAGATTCAAACTCGTAATTTTAATTGAGATTACAAAAGCAAATTGAAACCAAATATTCCGTGGAATTTGACCAAAAATTCTTTTCGATTTTTCTGTTTCTAAGGTTACATTACTTCTGATGATTATCGAGAGATAATAATTTAGAATGGAAATTTATTCAAAGTTAACAAAACTCAAGTTCATACACCTGTATGTAAMAAAAATCCCGATTTGCTCTTTCTTGAGATAAAAATATACCCTTTATCGCAATTTCGATATTKAGACTTGATAAATTATCAAAAATCTAAAATTCACATTTAAAAAAAGATAATCTCCTAGTGTATTTAGTCTTTATGTGTGTATAGAAAATGCAAATTAAAGAAATATTTCGAATTTTAGATCGAATAATCTCTTATGTTTTTAAAAAAAMCTTTTTGTTCATTCGCTGCGGTTAAACACAAAACATTAACATTGAAAATATTCGAATTCGAGCATACAATTTTGATAAGAAATATTATTCAGTGCAGTGAAATGAGGGAGTTAAGGGCACAGCGTCTGACGCTCTWGTACAACAATGGTATAAATTTCATAATTTTAGTGAACAATTGAACTTAAAAGMAGCTATAAGACTCACAAAGAGGACTTATCATACAAAAATTCAATGTACAATATTAGTCATAAAGCTATCTTTGATGCATTAAGCTTATAAAATTCTTCTAAAATAAAAAGTGGAATGTCTTTCTGATCATGAAGAGTAAGCTYAGTTGACAACTACATAGCCAAAGCAATACAAGTTTGATTACGMGACGATATTCATGTCCTTACAACTTAGATTTTATGCATATCTCACAAGAATAACCATTTTCCGCCAAAATYGAGCTAATGATTCCCAAACAAACTTTCAAAGTCAACAATATCCGAGAATGAATTAAAATTTCGCGGGCAGCATAAAAATATGTTGTATTTATAAAAATCGGCAAGAAGAAACCGATGATAAATACTTCATTTCCAATGTACAATTAAAGCTAGCGTTAAAATATTAATAATTTGCACTAACCGTTGAGGAGCAAGGATACATTCCCAAACGCTCTTCCAAGCAAGGAGCTTCGCCTTTCTTCTCGCTTTTATTGCCTTTTGTGGCATTTCCTTCCTCTGAAGCCTGCATACAAGATACACAGAAATAATTTAGAGTGGCACTCCCAGAGTTTCTGAAATTTGGACTGTATATTGCCCATTCATGGCCAAAAGAACAAGTTAGTTCACTTACCCTGCGAAAGACGGGGTGAGAGCTTGATAAACCGAGGAGTTGAAAMACGAAAAATACGAAGACGGCGATGTACAATATCCTCAARAARCGAGCCATCGTTGCTGGTGTGCTTTCAAATTGAAGGRACGCGTTCTCCGGGGAAGACTAACTTTCCACAGTCAGGCAGCACACTGTCTTGTGTTTATAAAATTAGTTTTCCCAGCGGAGGGGCGTGACAAATATCGTACTCTATTCCTATTGAAGGAATCACCCAGACGTGAATTGTGATGTATTCAAGACTCGCTATGGACGCCATTTTAGTTTACAACTTTTCGCTTCACTGAAAAATAATAAACAACGCTGTTACGCTTTAGTACAGCAAGCCTAAAGTCCAATCTAGAAAAAAATATATAAAAAGGAGAAACACAACAAAAGTTGTAAAAGCTCGAATAATTTGTCATGCAAACTGTGTCCGCGATTTTATGGTCTGCGGTATTCATTACTAGGTTCAGTCTCACCAGTCTTGTTCAGCACAGGGCACCCTAAGATCGCGGTATTCAGTCCCTTATCAAGGAAATTTTTTTTTTTTAAGACTCCGTGAACATGAGCCCAGACCACAAACACTGCCAAACTCTATAACGACTCTTTTTTATAAAGACATTTGCGTTTAATTATCATACCAGCCGATGACTTCCTGAAAGTACATACATGTTACCAAGCAATCGTAATCGGACTCAGGAAAATTAGCAGTATTTGTCTGTGGGTGTGTTATAAATATTGTGTCATTAAAATTTATCCAAATAGAAAAAGAAATTGAGGTTTATTGTCACTTTTGATGCCTTCAGAATCAGTTTGAGTTACTTCTATAATAGTAAAAATCTGATTTTCAAGGCAGAAAAGACCGCCTAATGATGTCTTCTCCCCGCGCGCACGATTTCATATTCTTAGGAAGCGCGTGCATAAGATGAAATATTTTTCGGTTCAGTCATGTTTTTTATTTGATAAATCTCTCATATAAACTTGGAAGATCTAAGAGAAACATGAAATCAACATCGCCATGATTAATATGGTGATATGACGTAGATTCTCGGGGACAATTACCTCGTTTTCATTCACGTTTCCATTAAGTCGSTCGATGACGTCGCTTACGTCACAATCAGTCTGTTAAATTAGAAATCCTCACCAGTTTTTGAAGGCAGTGGAGATTTTTTTTGCGGTTAGACTGTGTGTGTTCAAAATTTGTTGATAAAAATGAGTGAAACTTTTGGAAAACCTTTTTGGCTTGAAGAAGCAAGGAGAGAGATGAGATCAGCAGGTATCGGTGATGAAGCCAGCGTATCTGAAGCCATAGAGCAGAGCGTGGAGAAGACCTCCACAGACGAGGATCTTCTTATTGAAGAAGAAATCGAGTCGTTTGTGTATGAGCCTACAATAGAAACAAATACAAAGACACCATGTGCTCCAACACAAGACCTTAAAATGCAGGAATACCTGGACAATGAAGTCCTGCGAATGCGCCGCAAACCGCCAGTCAAAAACCACATTGAAAGGCATAAAACGGAAGGTGAAAATCATGAGAAAACCAAATGTGACGGCAAGATCAAAGAGGTAAGTAATACAAGCACACTAAAAGTTGCTTTTGATACTATAAAAAATCCACCGCCATATCAGTAACTCATTCCATCAAAATTAAACTTGTTGAAATTGGTTTAACATTAGGTATATAATTTCAGGTTATTGAGCACAAATCATCAGGGTTTGAAACATCTATCAATTACACAGAATTTGTAAARCGTCTAAATACAAAATTGCCAGAGATAGAGCAGCCCAAATTACTGCCGCATCGTCATGGGAAACGCCATTACAGACAAGCAAAGCCCTGCAAAAAACACTCATCACAGAAGAAGACGGACAGAAAAGACGTACATCCCAAGATGGTTCCACTGTCTTCTCAGGAAAACAACAATGTAGAAAAGTCCTTGAAGTATCTTACCAAGAAAGTTGTCCTACCTGACGTTAACATACCWYTGAWGGATAAGCTACCAAAAAGGGTTCCGCTGTGTTATCGTACCRGCAGGGATTCTATGGTGGCTGGGAACCTTTCACACGTTAATCGGCCATATTTCAATTCAARRGACCTGATCTATCAAAACTGTTTCAGTTACAATTTAATATCAGACGCCATTGAAGCTACAAGACGTGGCCGTGGTAAAGCGCATCCCGTTACAAAAAATGAATTTGTAAACCAAAATCCAATAGCAGTGAAGCCATTGGAACCTGAGCTACAAGACGATTGCAAACCCGATGGTCCGTTACTGGTTCGTCCATTCGAGACTGCAGTTTCTAATGAAAACGACCTTGAGGGTAATCTGTCAAATTGCGACTCATTTATACAATGACTTTAATTTCCATCTCTTTTTCCATGCATTCTTTACATACATTTGACCAATTTTTTTCTAAAACGAAAATTTGCCACTTTTGATTTTGAACCAATTAGAAAGCACTTTTCAACATGGGATCAGTTGCAAAAAACAAAAGAAGCAATAGCTAGAGTTTAACGGCAAAGGGCTAAAACGGCAGAGCTGAACCAATGACCTAAGAATTTCGTGCCTGACCTTGTGCTTTTGGTAGTCATTTGAAAGAACGACTTTTAATCATGACAGCCTCAAAATAACCCACTCTCGCGTTGAAACTGTAACGGTAAACCCCAAAAAGCAGTATCCGTGATCTTTTTTTGCCGTTTGCAGTTTGCCGTGAACGTCATGCTTAAGCTCTCTTTCTGGGCTCTCAGTCTTGGATCAACTTGGAGCTAATTAAGTTAGAATAGCAGCGTGCTGGAAGGTGCACATACTGAAGGGAATCTGACTTCAGACACGAAGCTCGATCGCTCCCTGCGGATGGAGGATGACATTCCCTTCCCTTTAAGATTGTGTACAGGTCTTTTAAACAAATATTTACAAGCAATATGCATCACGTTTCAGGTGAGGAACCATCAAGTAGCAAACATGAACATGATGATGACAGCCCTGCCCAAGATAAGCTTTCACAKGATGTAAGTCAATTTTGATTTGATTTGACAGTTTGCYGAAAACTAAACTTATCTGGCTTGATTAAAGGTGTTCATGACMAASGAYGATAAAKCGATTGCGGATGCGAATGGTGAAACGATAATTGATGTTGATGATGAATCGCAGTCTAGCACGTCTGTAAGTACAACGTATTACTTTGCGTTGTTTAGGGACCGGACTKCGCAATAATTATCAGGAGGACGCGCGSGAGTTCGCCCGGCATCTAGAAGGGTGGGAAGGRAATAGTCTAAACGTCCAATAAGTTAATCAATGAAGGAGACTGGGGKGTGTGTGKGTGKGTGGTAGTATATATCTAAAAAACTTGAAAATTTGAAAATGATCGTCGCAAAACACGCAAACGTAATATTGTAGACACAAAATGCTTCAAAATCTTAAAAAGTTTCATATATTCGAGTAAAATTGCTTAAATCATATTACACCACGACAACTCCGCGGCATTAGGACCGCAATCTCAAAACTTCTTAAGTACCACGATTTGCGACAACTCTTTATTCACGAAAAATAAACTAAAGGAAGAAATTCATTGGAGAGGAGGAGGGGGAAGGGGGAAGGGGGGAGGGGGAGGGTGGGTTGAGGTCGTAATTAATTTTGTTAACGAGAGGGGGGGGTTGTAATAAACGTTTTTGATTTTAAAATTTGTCTCATTTCTCAATCATGATCTCCATCTCTCCTCCTGATAAATATTGCGCAGTTCTTGTGCTGTGGTTGGTTGTTGTCGTGTTTTGTTTTTTATTTTTGTCATTTGGTAAAACAACTAATGGCAGTTAAATTAACGAATAACTAGACCAGTTAAATTAATTAACTGTATTGTCATCATTGTGTTTTAGGACATCGATGTAAATTGCTTGGGATCTTCTCTCGCATCCAACAATAAAACTAAYAAAACGACGAATGATAGACCAGGGGCTGCTCGCCAAAAGTCATGGTAATAAATGACTCTCCATGTTGAGATATATATTGATTCATTCTGACAATCATAATGATCATTTGAGAGAGTTGCCGAGATCAACTAAATTGTAATGACTAAAATATTTGATTCGTTCAATTMATTCCAGGGCAAAAACTAAGCTAGAGACACATATCCCTTTCTTTAGAAGAATATATGGCGACCGAACACCTTCTCCTGTTGCTGACTCAAGTGTTTTTGTTTCTGTTGCTGGCTCTTCTCTTGTTAATTCTCCGTTACCAGTGTCTGTATCTGAGACAGTAATTGGTCAAAATGCCTCGGTAGGACCGAATAGTGGGACATTGACACCTGTTGATATGGATAGTGGTATTGTCAAAAGAAGCCCTGTCGTTGAAAAACAGAGCTTGCATGAACAGTTTATGGTAAGTCTAGCTGACACTTGACTTTGAAGAAAACTCTTCTGTATCATGAAACACACATATCATGATAAATATTTCTATGAAATGTCTGTGAGTGAAATTTTGTTGAAATGTTGTTTCACATTTCATATTTCAACAGTCAAAGTGAAATAACATTTCAACATTCAGCAAAAGTTTTCACATTTCAAAAATGAAAACAAAAACAAACCGACATTGTTTGAAAGAATCTTTGATCTAATTCGGCTGATTAAACATTCTCACTGCTGTTTTCTCTATCAGAAACCTGCACCTGTACAGCCTGGTCGTAAAGCTTACAACTTGTGGTTTTTTAAATGCTTTAACACGCCCAATGATGAGTAAATATCCAGTCCAACCATACATGTCATAAGGTAAGAATGAGATCGCACTGTCACGTGATAATAATTGATCAATTGGTTCTCAATAGCGGTTAAAACAAGTTGTGCGAGGAACCTATAGTTTTGCATCAAACCGAGGCAGAATTAGGCAACAATCCAAACACTTGTCCTTTTTGAGCTTGTTTATCCTTTTGCAATTCAATTTCAGGAGAATAATTCTTGTTGCTGAAAAAATTTACAGTTCTGATATATCTTTACAGCAAACATGTTGCGCTCTTTGATTTTAACCGCGAAAAGGTCTACATGTATTACTTTTTTGAATTCATCTTTTTACAAAACGTTTTCTTTAGAAACACCGAAGCAGCTCACACTAGTTTACCGCCAGTTTCCACTGTTATGAGTTGGGYTGCCTGTATACTTTCGTTGGGGTGTAGCCTGTGTACATCCGTTTCTCACCCCTCCAAAAAAATCGGGGAGAGAACGTCTGTGATTTGSCGTTGCTAATCGTATTCTGACATAAATTTGCATATATAATGTGACATGCACGTTAGAGCTTGAGCAGGCACGTTAAAAGGTTAAGTAAACAATGGACCGTTCCGCAACATAAATTCGAACATAATGCCAAGAGATTTTGTTTTTGTTTCAGCCATTCTCTACTTGCGCATACCCATAATACCTTCYGATTTTGGRGGGTAGTTATTGTTATTGAAATCATCTATATTTGAATAACAAGTAGAGTGTGCAAGTAGAGAATTCAATTCTTACTTCGACCGTGGTTTACATTCGCATATATTGTCTCTGCCCATTGGTCTATGCCGTGCTCTCTCTATCTTCGGTAGTGTTACGTTAGACTGTCGTTAATAGACACTGTGTTGTTGTGCTAACTTGTCCTTTAATATCACAATCGGACTAACACATACAAACAATGGTGAACTCTCCGACTACACAGGTATCCCGATACTGTAAATACCGTTACANCCAAGCGCGAATAAATATTTTCCAATTTTTTGCTAGATTCCCAGCCACCTCTAGTTTGGACGGCAAAGGAATGTTCGTAGGCATAGACATATTTGTATATGGTTGTTGACTGGTAGAAGGATTGGTATCACTGGTACTCGCTTGACTTTCGTTTTCAGTCATATAAGCAAGTCAGTATAGCTTATATTTAGAATTAATGTAGATAAACGCAATCTTACTTGTTTTCGGCCGCTTATTTGTGCCAGTTTCAACGAGAGTCCGAGTTTGATGCGAATGTCTGTGACGACCGGCCACGTGCGATTCGTAGGAAGAACACACTTCGGCTCGTTTAGACTTGAAATTTCGCTTTTACAAACCAGTAAATCTTGGAGACCACCAGTTAAGAACTTCTGACACCATGTTACGTTAGACTGTCGTTAATAGACACTGTGTTGTTGTGCTAACTTGTCCTTTAATATCACAATCGGACTAACACATACAAACAATGGTGAACTCTCCGACTACACAGGTATCCCGATACTGTAAATACCGTTACAGGTAGTAAGGTGTCTCGTCAGAATGTGGTTTTCCTGTAATTTGCGTCATACAATGACTTCCATCAACCGTGCTAATAATCTTCTTGTGAAGATTACGTTGTCCTCGGCAGTTTTGAAGCTGTAACTCTGGCGCTTTCGCAGGCTATTATGAGATGTAGAATACAAACTACTAAGCCCCCTTCTCTTCTTTAGCACATCTGACAAATGCAAGTTTTGTTCGTGAAGATTGGCGGCGAATTTTAATGACATTATAATTCCACATCAATTTTAAATTTACCCTGACCGAATATAAGATTAAAGCCTAAACTTTTACAGAGAATTTGACATCCGTTTCTCACCCCTCCAAAAAATCGGAGAGAACGTCGATCGTTCTCTCCCCGATTTTTTTTGGAGGGGTGAGAAACGGATGTACACAGGCTAGTTGGGGTGCACGCGCGGAACGGTCAACTATGGACTATTTATTTTGGCTGAATAATTTGTTATCTCAGTTCGATCATACTATGTAAAATAGCTTATTTACATGTATTTATTCCTATCATTAACAAAAATTATTTTTTCTCGTTTCAGATTTATATTATGTGCATCCTCATTAACATTTATTCATATCGTACATATCAATACTAAATATATTAAACTATTAAATTCATYTATCTAATTTATTATTTCTTTATATGATTTAATACGATGTTTTGTCAAAAGACAATTTGTAAAATATACATACATTTTTCGATTTTGTCTGTGTTAGTCACGGGTTCGTTAACCCGCGCGCACTAAAATGAATAAAACATGAATTATTGTATCAATTGTGTAATATTTATCGATTACTTAACTACTTGGTATTCCATCTGCAATGCCATAATGTGCTGGCTTTAAAAATGGCAAGATGATGAGGGTCATTTTTTGTTGAGGAAATAAAACTGAACATGTGTGTAAAATATGTCAAAAAATTGTCGATTGAGTGCAAAATTACAMAACTATTGMTTTGCATTCCCATGGCTGAAAATAAAACTGTTGGGCTAGCAGAAAATGTGTTATCCTCTATCCTARTTTGGCTTCGTCTTTGCACAAGAAGTGGAGTTCCTGATGAACCCCTGGATGCACTCCCTGGACACGCGGCTAAAAGATCATGTTTATGGCAGTTTTGGGGACCATACAGTTTAAACTTTTTATGCTCTTCATCAGCTCAGAGTTATATTATCAGCCCGTCAATTAAAAAAAAAACTTGTACTATATCTATGGATTTTGTGTTCTTTGTTCTTGTTGGTTTTGATGCAAGCCATGGAAAATTAGAAATGATTACAATTCACAAACAAATAATGAATTCTTGCATATACTGGGTTACCTGTGGCATTGGTGTTCCCAGTCCCTATGATCACACGGCCAAGATGGAGGACGAGGGATAACAAGGAAGTTGGAAAATCGTGAAAACCTTTRAACTTTGTATGATATCGCTGGGATATCTGTGGACTTGATGCTGTTGGTTGTTTAAAATGGACTATAAAGTCAAACTCAAGAGTCTTTTGGATGATGCTTTGGTAAGGAATGAAAAGTTATGCTGGTTTCGATATCAAAAACTCATGTGGCAAGCTGTTGTCAGACAATCGTCAGACAGAATAAGCTTAATTATAAATGCTATTTTCGAATTAAAGCTGGAACATTTCTTTTTCAGAAAATAGAGGCTCTTGAGGTGGCCTTTCATGGGTGAGTAAAATTGATTAGATTTATTATTCACTTGGAAAAATCAAAGAATGTTCTAATTTTGTAATTGGTTGCTAAAAGACGCAAAGATCAAAATAGTCAATACTCTAGCTAAATAAGCTCAAAACTGCAGATTGTTTTGAACATGTAAGTTAAAGCCCTGCCACTGCGCTTTCATAAAATARGATCCCTATATCATTCATTTATTCATTGAAATCGAGGAATAGACTTATTTGATGTATTAATTTGTGATTGTCATGATGACTTGTCATGGTGATTTGTTCATGTTTTTCAGGTTCTTGAGGAGAAAAGATGGCGATGATGAGAGTGTAAAGGCATCATTTCTTGAGGCCTTCAAACCATTTTGGGATTCAGTACCTAAAGTAAGAGAAAACAAGCAAAGCAAATGAATAAAAACATATGAAAATAAAAATAAAAAAAAACATAACAAAATTTCAATATACATTAGGCTGTTAGATGTATTTCATCATAACAATAACAYATTTCCTTTAATCACACCCTGACATTATGACAAGACACTAACTAAAATATAWTCATTGAATTATCCAGGAACTAAAGGAAGAAATTGTCCAACAGTTCATGACATACATTCACGAACAGAAGAGTCTAAGAAGAATTGACTTTTGTTTTGACTTTTTGGTCAATCTAGTAGAGAAGAATGTTATCTCGGCAAGGTAACATATAATATAAGTATTATTGATAGTGTGCAGGGCTACTGGAATTCATATTATGCTGCTTTYTAGGTTGATCTGTGAGGCAGCACTGAAATCAGAACATCTGAAGTTTGAAAATGAAGTCACATGGTGCAAAACATTTCAACTTATTTATAGAATTGTAGGAGGGACAGATTACAAGGTAATTTTTGTCCACATACCTTCAGTTGCTAAAAAGGTATATTGTGATACTGTTTTGGTTAAGTCCTTTTCAAAATGCTGAAGAATGCGCGATGTTTGATGAACGATGTAATGGCAGCTATTACCAGTCCACAGACAGCCCAGTTAGTAATTGTGGGCTGCCTGTGCAATTACTCCTATCTTTTGTATAATTTATATGCAGATTATTTACTATTCTCTCTCATTATTTGGCACTGAAGTGAGTTTACCATTCAAATCTCATTTGTACCGACTTCAAGTATGAAATATGTAATTATGTCACTAGAATGTGAATAACTACTGTCTATTGATACTGTTGATCTACATGTTAGGGTTGTCGTGGTGTATTGAGCCTGCTGTTTGTTAAGTTCAGCAGTATACCTAATGTTCCTGACCCTGCCTAYTCTAGTCGTATTCACGATGCTCTTAAGGTTAGTACATGCAAATTATGCTATTTGAAATATTTGTGCATCGTATGATTCATGATATTGTGATTGACAATTAATATTAGCTTGCACATGCACATGAATAAACATCTTTTCCTCTTTCAAAAACCTTAATGCATGGAGTATCTTGTGCTAAAAACACAGTCAATGTTGAGGTTGTGTGTTTGTGATATGTAATATATATGTTACTCAACATATGAAATCTGTACAAATTTTTATTGAATAAATTAATTTTTTATTTTATTCTGTTTACAAATTATTTCATTTTATTCTATTTACAAATTATTTTAATCATTTTATTCTTATTCTTACTATTCTATTATCTATCAAGGTTTTACAGTACATATTTGATCGCAAAGCATGTCTACTTCCTGCATACTTTGTCATTAGTGAGGTACAGTAAGGCTAATTTATTTAGAAAAAAACTGAAAAATATTATATAATACCATGTAAAGTGACTGAGAGTGTGAATGCGAAGAAGAGGGATGAGGTAACTATATTGATTAGAAATGTAATATAAAACATTGAAATGTTAATCTTTTTTGCAGATTTACAATAATTTTCCAGAAGTACAAGAATCACAAGTAGTTCCTCACTGGGTAAAAATAACCACAGTCTGCAGAACCTTACTGAATAATTCTTATTACTTATGTTTCATTAGCTTGACAATAATTGTTTTGTCCTAGAGTTTGATGTTCACAACCATACTATACAACACACAAAATTAAGGACAACTTCATTCCTTTAACGCAATATTAAGTTTATCACTTTTGCACTATTTGTTTTATATTTTAATTTGATGACATAAAATTTGATTCAAACCTGTGTTAAATAACATATTTCTTGCAGTAAAAGATAAATTCCTCTGGTGATTAGACATAATGTACATTKGGTAACATGTATAGTAATTAAACGTTTTTTTGTTAGTCAATCAGCAAGTTGATTTCTTCCTATGTGGACAGCTTCAGACCACTTGCACACATTGTTAGCGTCACAGGTATTGTGGAATACTTCGGATGTGATAAATTATGTAATTTTGGAATACAGTATATCTTTATATTGTACCTTTTGCAAAAGGCTTGTACCAACAATATGATAACTAAACTATTGAATAACATTATTAAACATTGCTCTGTGGTAAAGAAGTAAAGACAACAATTAAGTTAATTCCATATATCATACTTCTAATTCTTTGCAAAAATATTCAACATAAAGCTCCAAATCTTTTTATATAATTCGTTATTTAATATCTAAAGTTAAATTATAGGCCCATCATAATTACAAAATTATTAAAAACCTTTAATGCAAATGACAATTTTTTATAGGCTGTATCATTGTATGATATCGTGATTAATGACTGAAGGTTTTCTTTAGGTCGGCCGTTCTTGCTTCCCATCATTGGTCACCCTGGGTCTTCTCTAAGCGTGTGGAAACTGGAACCTAGCACTCGTAGTTTTCCCATCAAAGGCCTTTTACCTTATGACAGGGTACTTCTTCTTCATCAATGATTTTGATTATTACTGGTAGGAACTTTTAATAAGTTATCCTTTTTTATCATTTCTTTGTAGGATTTGTTGGAGCCCCAAGATCCTCTKCTGCAGTATGTAATAGGACAGCCTTACTCTCGTGATATAGTATGTACATTGCTTGGCCTTAACAAGCAGGTAAAGACATTTGATTTTAAATAAACAGTCAGGTTGGTAGCCAGTTGTTGAGTTATTAGTAAGATGTCCTTTTTTTTAACTTGGAGATTGCATTAGCAATAATCCAGTTTAGAATTCTCCAATGCTCTGTGTTAGCCTCATTTGTGCGCAAAATATTCCTTATTGTGAGCGTAAAAGTGTGAGATTTCAAATCAATTTATTGTCTTTCTTCACAACATTCCATGCGTTTTCTCAAGCTATCAATGAAACAAAAGAATATGTTACTTGGTTTTGAGGCTAACAAAGAGCAAACCAGAACTCGAAATTGGAGTATTGAAGAGTTATAGTAGGGGAAGGATCTGTCACTCACTAAGTCACTCAGCCACTCACTTTCCTGTAAACTGCATTGTTAACTTATTTGACTTATTGATTATTCATATCTGTTAGAAATTCATCTTTGCTGTCTTCCTGTATCTTTTTATTCTTTGTTTGAAGAGAAAAAAATGCATGTCTTTGATGGAGCTTGTTCTCCGGACCTCTCGTTAACTTCTTTTTCTAGATAATTAAATACCATTCTGGTAGCTAACTTGTACATTGACCTTTGTGTTTCCAAGTTTCTATATTATTTATCATATTTGCACCATTCATTTTAGCAAAAGCAAAGATGYCCTGCCTTAGAGGATCTGTTGGTTGATCTGATAGTTATTGCAATGGAGAAAACAGAGAACAAGCCTGTTGAGATGGGCGTGTCAGGTTGTCAGTTACTTTGGCATCACTTGTCCAGCCATCTCATCTTCTTTGTGTTGTTTCAATTTGCAAGCTTTCCACACATGGTGACACAACTTTACGACAAGGTACAACTTTATGTAATATATAAAATAAATATGAGCAGGAGACCTTTATGAGCATTTAAAACTGCAAGCTGCAAGCGATCAGTTTTATAGCCCATAAAGGTGGGACACGAATATTTTATATTGCTTATCAAGGGGCAGAATTAACAATCCCGTGACACGTTTTTGACTGCTCATTGATAGTGTATGCTCAGACTTGTCAATGGTGTACAATGGTGTGTAAGTTACAAAAAAGTTATGTTTTCCTTTCCTTTCAAAGGTTTAATATTATAAAACTAAGGAATAATCTAATTTTCAGATATTTTTATGAAAATTGTTCTCTTCATCAATTATGATAGCTCATTTTTGATAATTTGTGTTTATCTATTTTTTAGCTATCAGGAAGAACATTAAAGAAAGGAAGAAACCATCTTATGTGGGTTTTATTGCAATTTATTTCTGGAAGTATTCAGAAAAATCCTGTAAGTATATGTATTATTYATTATCTTGGGACTTGAGAATGCAATATTTATCATACTATTTTCAACCAATTTGCATTAAAGCTGAGTGATTTCAAGCCTGTTTTGAGGTTATTTGAGCTGCTGTATCCAGAAAATGAGGTATGTAYRAGGGGCAAARATTACYCCTATATTATTTCACATGATTTTCCTGTGACTCCTATCATGGTAACATATTTAAATGTATATTGGCTATTAATACTGTCTACTTGAAAACCATGATTGTAAACAAAGTGATGACCACTGTTAGTAACTCTTCTAAAGTGGTGCTGCTCTCTGTAACATTTTTTTTATCGACTTTCTGATATACCTGTATGTAATATATACAATATGAGCGGGCGATCTGTATGTAATATACAACTCTCTTCATGGGCTATGATTTCTATTGTGTTTTGCCTTATGAATATTAATGAGTTTAATAAGATTCTAAAGAAAGCTCTCTGAAACCTTCTCCAAGTGTCAGGTGATTCCTCAGGTCCTGAATTCCACAGAAAATCAAAGTAAAAAGTCAAGTTAATGAAGAAAAACACCCAGACACTTTATACTGAGTRAAAAGAACAGTTGCATTCACATCCCATTTCAATTCCAGTACTAATATCCTAGTTAACCTCTTTTCCATTTTACTAAAACTGTTCTGTTTSTATTTATTCTTAGCCTCTACCTGCCCCTGATATCAACAGCTCYGATTCTGTTCACTCCCTTGCGATGGCTTGCATTTGGATTCATCTCACTAAAAAGGTAATATCACTCATTGTGCATTATTCAAGGTTCGTGCTACTCCTCGGAATTCTTGAAAACTTGAAAACTKTTACTTTACTTGGCAGGCTGAGCTAGAGAAACTCACAATCAAGTCACCAACATCGCATATTCTAAAGAACCAACTGGAGTAAGTGACTCGAAGTTTATTTATACAACATAAATAAAACACAAATAAAATGCAAACAAAAAAAAAAAAGAAAGCAAAGAAAAGAAAGAAAGAAGAAGAATTAAAAGAAAGCACTTCAATCCGTAATTACCAATAGTTCTCCAGCAACAACATATAAATTAATTTTGATAAATTATCAATTTGTAGGTTTATCCATGAATGGTCCAACAATAAATCTACTCCTTACTCTATGAACAATTATGCTATACCAATTCTCTGCAATGCWTGTAAGTATTAGTATTGATTGATCGACCGATGGCATACATATAAGTACATACTAACTATGATAAGTATTAGGATGCGAGTCTGTACTTTAGTGATGTTTTGTGTGTTATATGTTTGGACGTAGAATAGATTTCCTATGACTCTGCAACGGCATGGATTATGCATTAAAATAGGAATTGAAAAAAAGACCGCGACTACAGTGAATTACGATCAGGGAACCTCGGCTTGTATTTATACATACATACAGAACATTGATTGCAAAAAAGTCACGGTTACGGCACAGTCACGTCACGAAATTGTCATAGTTTCATCTACATCTACATTTATTTAGTTGGTAAAATCTTTCCGCGATTATCAAACTCGCGAAATCCAAATCTTCCCCTATTTCCTTGGAAAAGGGTGCCTACATTTGTATAACGATTGCCTTCTTGAAAGGTTGCAAAAGTACGACTTAAACTAGTAAACTAAATCATAATATCTCAATRTATATTCTTTAGATAGCACTATTCCTGCTCGCTTCACTGTTGCCATGACTGTTTTAGTCGAGATGTGTTTTGGTAATGGTAAGGTTACC